AATATTTACCTTTCAAATTCTTTAAAAATTGTATTTTTGAAATAATTTAATATACTCGGTTTAGTAATAACACTTTACAAAGCTGCATTGTACTTAAACAGAAACAGTGACACTATTATATGTGAGCAGGATGCCTGACCAAAACATATTAATTTTCTTTATCAATTCAGATCATATTGGCATTTATAATCACAAAAACATGCACTAATTCTATATTAAAACAACGGTGTGTCTGACTGCATGTGTAAAGATTAATATTTTATAAGTGGTGAACAAAATGGAATTTAGCTCCAAATAAACTGCTGAATTAAATAATTGCAGAAGAGAGTGAAAAGCTAAAAAAAAAAAAAAAACACTTGGAGACATAGTTTGATTAGGCATAACCAAAAAAAAAACTGCTTTTGTTTTAACAGTCAAGGGCAAAATCTTAGGTAAAGCAAAAATTTTACCAAAAAGAAACAAAAAAACTGTTGATCAGTGGAACGGATTGTTTAACTTTATTTAATGGCTCCTGATCTCTTTGAAATTTCCCAGGCTTGTATAATCAAAAGCAAAGCCCTTTGTCTCTTTAACACACATACCAAAGAAGCTGCCGAAGAGGCTGCATCCGAATGAATGAATATTTAATTGAGGTCTATTGAGGCAGAAGATCAAAATGACCTTGCTTTAAATGATTATTCAGTGCAAAATAAGAGTAGGGTAGTGGAGAATAGGAGCTGCGCTCTGAAGAGCCATTTTGCAACGCCGTTCAACAATCAAACATGGAGATCTGGAGTACAGGAGACAATTTTTTTCGACAGTAGTGGACCATAATGCAGCCACAAGATATGTTGTATTTTGAATATTGAACTCAAGTGCATGCACAGGACTGAGCATCACTACATATTTCAGTTTTTTTTTTCTTTTTGTGCAGTACTTGTTGATAAACTAGAGCTTGAATAAACTGGAAGCGGAATGCAATTCTTCCCCATTCTCCATCTGCTGCCTGGTAGTTGGTCTGAAATGTTTAGTTCTTTTTTAAACCAACCCTGAAATGAGGCCTTATTGTCAGAATCCAACTTCAGACATCATACATCTGTATCATCCTGTCAGATCTTGACCTATATTACATATTGTGTAGATTTGGAGTTTCTGGATGAATGAGTCAATGCATTCAGTGAGAGCATAAAATGCATTTACTCAACATGCTACAAATAGATGTTGTGCTCACTTACTTTGCTTAACCACATTTAAAGAATCACATTGAGAGATGCCGCTTCGGCAGTGAGCTACAGCATGGTTCTTGAATGTTTTGGATTCCAAAGTGAAGTGAAAAACAAGATAGAGTTACAATATAAGAAGCTCAAGAAAAAAAAAAGGAATTGAAACCTTCATTAAGTCTGATATTTTCTCACAGCTTTTCCAGCTGAGACAGCTGTGCTTTTTATTTTTCCATCTGAAAAAGCTTTACATTTGGCATGTCAGTTGTCAAACCTTTAGTTTTTCTGCTGCATCAAGTCTTCCAAGACTTATTTTATTGCAAAATCATCAGTTTTCAAAGAAAAACATTGGAAAACTTGAAACTTAAAGAAAATATGCCTCCTTGGTTACAAAATAAAAAGAAATGAATGACTCAATGTTTTATTATAAAACACGAACACAAAATTATAAAATAAGGTGTTTATAGATGTTTAAGTCACTGTTAAGGCTTAAGCACTCTAGAACACGTGCATATGCAAATGTTTAGTTTATTCATTCATTTAGAAACAAAGCAAATTCAGTATACAAAAAATACAAATGAAAAATAAAATGAAAGGCAGCAGAAGGAAGAAAAAAATCTTATATCTGCACCTTTTTCCATCAAAAGAAATTCAAATAATAAAAAACAGAAAAAAATTAATTAAAAAAATCTTTCTCAGACAATTTGTAAGGATACATATTATGTAATTTCATATTTCTTCAACAGACTGGATTTTACCATTCTCCTAAACTTATACAATGGTCCTACACTTTTAATATCATTCTCCAGATTATTCCACAATTTTTTTCTTTGCACTGAAGTACATCGTTCCATCAAACTAGTTTGGATTTTAGGTTTCACAAACACCTCTGTCCCTTTTAAACTGTAGTAACTCTGTCTCTTAACAAAACTTGATTGGATGTTCAAAGGTAAAATATTTTTATGAGCCTTATACATAATCTGCAAAATGTTGTAATCAACCAAGTCATAGAATTTCAACCATTTCAACTGACAAAATAATGTGAATGTAAACTGGGTATTTTGCTAAAACTAAACAAGTATAACAGTCAAGCAACTGACAAAATAATGTGAATGTAAACTGAGTATTTTGCTAAAACTAAACAAGTATAACAGTCAAGCACTGACCTGAGGATTACAAATCATGTGCTAACAGTTAGATTCATTGTGAACAGCATCTCTTCAAACCTWACACTTCCTTCCACAACTGAACATCATCCCAATTATCTCTGTGACACAGACTCACAAGTTCTTTGTATTAAAAAAATGTTCCTGTTAGTACACATTAGTACAATATAAGTCCACTTTCCACCATGAGCCATCAGTTGCACACAAGTATCTGTTGACATGCTCCTTAACTGGATATTATGTTAGGGAACCTTTTAGCAAACTCTAAATTACTCTGCCACAGTCCCTTTTCTGTGGTGGGTCAGGGCTGTCTGAAGCCATTATTGGTAATGAATGTGGAGTCCTACTTTGAAAGGTTCAGGCATGTAAAGTCACCTAAAGCTGACTAATGGAATCCTGCTGACACGGCATGCCAGCGGCTTTTACAATCTCCCAGAATGGCAGTTTTGGAAATTTACACTGCAGAAATAATGAACTATAAATGTAAACCTTGGAATGTAACCTCCCACACAGCAACTCGGTTAATAATAGACGCAGACTGTTCAATGTGTAGAAAATCCTAAATTGCAGAAAACCATTTTGAAAAATCAGCAACAATTCAACTACTTTGTGCCTCATTTGTACAAAAAAAAAAAAAAACAGACATAAACACAACTTTATCCTTTTTGAGTACAATCACATTTATTAGCAAAGCAGCTGGAAGATTATGTTTAGTGCTTCTGTTTGGGGGGTTCTGGGTTAGTTAGCATCGCAACACTTTGTGCCCTGGGAGATGAGCCTCTTCAGYGGGGTCATAGGTCACGCCAAAGCGAGGAGAGTGGCCATTGTGCTTTGTCATTTCACAGGTGACTCACATCACTGCACTCGAGCGGGCTGCAAGTAGAGCACTCGGAGATGCCTGCGGCATTCAAAATGCATGATTTTTAGCCCAGTGCAAACAAATCGCTTTAAAAGATCCGTTTAATCTATTTCGAGCTGTTATTATGAGCCGGGAGAGTTGTTCAGATAAAGAGACTGAAGCAGGGTTAACATCGGTGCATTGGACAACTCTTCACATACTTTATCCAGCGTGAGAGCTGTCAACTTTATTATTTGTTTTTACAATATAGTGTGTATACGAATTACAATGCAGACCACTAAAACTAAGGTCAGGGCGCAAGTAACCAAGAGCTAACCTGCCTTAAAATCTATAGTGATATAATACAGAACATTTGAATATTATCTCAGTGGAAGGCACCAGCGCCATCGTTGAACGTTGGAGGACRTAAGGCTGCTTCAATGTCTGAGTTGTCGTCTGATTCGTTCCAAAAAGCTTTAAAACAGATACAAAAGAGAGAAAAAAAGTAAAGAATTACTGCTTCAGATGTGACTGTTTCTTTAGTAAGACAAACACGAGTTAAAAAGGTTCATTTGACTCATAGTAAAAATGTTAGCTTGTTGATTTTACACATAAAAACACAAAAAGAAGATCCTCTGCACTCAACTTAATGTCAAATGTCATTTTTCTAGATGTTAACCAACAAATTCAAACATATCCTTTCTTACTTAAACTTAACAGGAGCTAATAGAATCCCACACATTTTAGTTTCTGATTGTAATATATATAAAAAAATACTTTTGTGCTTTTTAGTGAAGTAGGTCGTTTCAGAGGTTTTCAGTAACCTGGACTTTCAAGGTCCTTTTTTTATTTACATATCTTCAAGAGGCATAGATGCAATCACAGGAAATTTTGACTAAACAGTTACAGAAAAAGCTGAAATTTTACAGAAAATTACAATCATTTCAACGACAACAAAATGCTGACTTCTTTATGGTGATCTGTGCAACCAATGGGATGAGACGTCTTTGTTTGAACTCACCTTTTGACTGTAGAGCTGAATGAGCTTTTGAGGTTCCCTTCCTGAAAATTCAACAAAAAAAAAGTTAGAAGCCACTTTTCACACTAAAAGCTGATTTTGTTATTTCTCTCTTTTGCACATGAAAAATAAATCCTTCAAGAAAAATAAAACATTCACCAATCCCTTTTTCCCCCTACTAGCTAATACATCACATACAAAATAAATTTTTTGAGAACGAATCAATCTGCTGAATTCTGCTAAAAGGTGATCTCATCCATTTCATCCAGAGGTTTAGATTTACTGGCTCACTCAGACCACGAAGCAAAGGGAACTTCCTTGACTCTTATTTTAATTGAGCCAAAAAGACTTCCACAAGGCTCTCTTTATTCAGAAATAGTCCAAAGACAGGGTTGCCAGGTTCCCATAGCTCTGCTGATATCGCTATGTAAATGTGTGACCTCCGAAAAGGCTTTGATCTACCTCAATGCATATGCAATAAGGCCCCTCGCTTCACTTTTAAAGGCCTCCTCTTTAATTTACATCATCACAGAGCCCATTCAAAAGCCCACAATATATCCTCATCACCTCCCAGGTTAGCATACACATCCATATGGCTTATCTGTCATCTGTTTCAGATCTGTGTTGACACTTTTTCTCGGAAAACGTACGAAACGACGCCGAGTTTGACGCCGAYGAGCTCGAGCCAAAGGCAGCGGCGCGGTGTTCTTCCGTCTGCGTCGATACAAATCCGTGACCTCTTTGATTGTCACCCTCTCAATCACCCTCATCTCCTCATCTCTCCCTCAGCAAAGTCTTGGCACATGTGACTGTACGTCGAGTATGAGGACCAAATTACTTTGGCTCTGTTCCAGGTGCTGCCGTCTAAACTCTATATCACCACTCGAGACAGAGTGAGAGAAAAAAGATGCACCTCCCTTTCCAAACTGGGAGCAGATTGCTTTGTGCTGCAAACAATATACCACAGAGCCAGAATAATCGTTAGAATATAAAACCTTTGAATTCATATGCTGAGAGGACTTCCTGCAAGACATGTGGCTTCTTGCATCTGTTCAGACTAAACCTGTAAAACTGAAGAAAGATAACAAGCACAGGATGAGCAGGAAAAACACAATCAAGTACAATTACTGTGCTTGCAGTTGATGTTGAACAGCAAAAAGTGGAACCAGGTTTTGGTTACTTAAATATTAATAAAAATAAATTGATAATAATGTAATGTAGGAGGTGAACATCATTGTGCATTATTTAAATTAATGATGCTTTAATAATCTTACTAAAGACTAGGGGTCTCCACAAGATAGACTGTGGTCCAAACGTGGACTCAAAGGAAGAAAGAAACCCACATCTATATTTTACCTGTGTACATTTTCCTGTATTTACAATATTTTGAATTTGGCAACACAGCTTATCCATAATTTACGGTAATACATTGCAGGCAGTGCAGCTCTTCCCACATTTACAGTAATTCATTTTAGTGGGAACAACGTTTTTAGCATGTATGGACTTTATGTTATGGGTTGCAGCTTTTCCACAATTTATGACAATAAATTGATACTAATAAATAAATTATTTATGACAATAAATAAATACTAGAACTTTACAGTAAGTCAAAGTTGGTGCTTTTTTAACACAAATACAGTATATTCTGGACATTAGCTAGAGGAAAAATCTCTCGCTAAATTTGAAATGAAGACCACTGTTGTAGCCAAGGTTTCTCTAATACTATCCCCTTAATTAAATATTTATATAATTATCTAAATTAAAGGAAGCCTTGCCAAAAAAATAAAGTACTTTTTCAGATTACCACAGTTTTCTTCATATAATGTAAAAGTGTTTTTTAAACCACGAGTTTGGTTCTTAAGGCATCATGTGCAGAAAGTTCTGACAGTCTAAATATAGACAYCACTTTCAAAAGGGAAATTCAATTTTCTATTTTTACCCAACTTTTTGCACAGAACAAGAGACAAGTACAAACAATAAACTAACAAAATAATACGGGTAATGCATCCATTTCCAGCTGCTGGAAAACGAAACCCAAGCCAGGCAGTGCTGCAGCAAAAATACAACAATAATCTAAGCAATTACTTCCTCTCCTCTGCAACAATAATAGCTGTTTGGGAGAGTAAATTGAGCTTTTTCTTTGCTCGAACTTCCACCACAGGATGGGAATGGCCTATCAGCTGTTCCACTTCAGTGAGGGACAGGACTGATTTCAAGACAGAGCTATTACCACAAAGAGCCCAGCCTGGMTCTGACCTTGCTGATCGAATATTCAGTTTCCATAAACATTTATGCCAGCTCATCTTCTGCTGAGTTTCCCTTAATTGAGGCAATGATCTGTATATGTAAGAACTGGACGSGATGTCTGGACATTATGTGTAAAATGATGCAAATTACAGTTATTGAATTGTTCTTTTTTGGTGCTGCATTTATTTGCTTTGTCTGGCTTTCGCAATTGTTTCGGCTCATTGTTTATYGCTAGTTTGAACGGTTTTTCTGAGCGCATAGTAACCTTTCGAATTGTAAGACTTCACACACATTACAGTGCCTAATAAAAACATTAATGCAGAATGTTCATTTTATTGTACTTACTTTAACCAAACTTGGCTAATGTTTTGCCAGATTACACTATAACCATTTTCTTWGAGGACTTAAAAGATCATAATACAGTATTACCAATAAGTCAAGTTAATACAAGWTTTAAGGCACAATGTAAAAATACATCAGAGAAGTAGTAATATACACAAATTGAAAATTATAACTTAAGATAAACTGGATCACATGTTCAAAATAAGAAAAACAGTATCTAAAATGTTTCTGAGAGTAAAACAATAATTTACTTACATAATCTGAAGKTATTTTGATTAATTTTTCAATTAGAACTTTTACATTTCTTGTTTTTCATTAGTCTGCTTTTATAACTGTCTGGTTGTAAAACTGAGACATAAGACAAGTTTTTGATACAGGTAGAATCAGGTGTTAGGGATAAACTATATTAAGAGAAATGCTTAATATCTGTGATAAAAAAATAATTTAATCTGTGTTTTACACTTGCAAAACATTTCCATTAGTACAAGGACATGAAATTTTTAAATAAATCATGCACCTTAATATACAGAAAGTGCTATCTGTAAGACTAAACCAAGGTTCCTGCAATCAAAGATGAGTTTCATATTTTATCCCATAGTCACATTATTGGACTGTTGGACAAAATAATGCTTAGCAAGCAAGCATTTAGCCCTGCCTTAACGACTGCTAGAAACTGCTTTTATTTACCCTAGATTTTTTTAAGCTCCTGCCTCCCACGCACAAATGCTAATAGCACAATAGCACTTTTGCTGGGCTGCGCTTGTCTAAAGGTAAAGGTAGACCCATCACCTCAACATTGCCATCAACTCCTACTCCCATCCCAGCTGTGACCCTGCAAAAAAAAAAAAATCATTGTTTAGGCTCCGTTTAGATGTACTCTAAAACAGGCCTGAATGGCAGCAGGATGCAGCCCTCAGTGAGGGCAAACAGTGAGAGGTACCTGTGAGTGCACCATGAGTGGGCGCTCTCTAACGTGTGAGTGCTCTCTGCTGGCAGTGAGTGAGTACTGCAGCTCAAAAGAAGAGGTATTTGTGCCACTGATTTTTGTGTTCTCCTGSTGACTGGTGGCAGTCTAGTGGAGACTGTCAGTGCAAAGGACTGCTGAAGGGCAGAGTTGATCTGAATTTTATTCTTCACTGTCAGGGGAGGAGGAGACCAACATTTGATGGTTGATTCTGCACTCAGTTCAAGTAATTATAGTCTATAATAAAACACCTCCTAATGTTTCATCCATTCATTTTTTTTCAGTATGTGTTGCTTCAGAGACCTACATAAGGCTACACTGCAGAATAAAGTTTAATAGCATAAATAATGAAATATAATTTATTACTTAATAACCATATCAGATGTTTATTATTAATTTAAAAAAGCCAGTGAAGGACAGTGACCTCCACTGGTGAGTCATAATGCTGTTTTTTTCTTTAGCCTGTTATATTCTTGTTTATTGTTCTACTATAGAGCTGAAGATCAACTATCACAAAATTAAATGTAAAACTAGGACAAAATAAGAAATGTGTTAGACATTTTGTGAMGTATTTGGCAAAGCAAGCATTTAATAAACAACAAAAAAAGGAAACATAAAATGTTGCCCATAACATCTGTTCTTTACAACTTGCTGCTGCATTCTCTAGCAGAAAATCTACCTTTCAATGCCACTTAGTGCATCATTGTCTCTCTGACTCCATCCCTCTCCTGCTTTCTTTTTTTCATACCTCCTTTCCCCCTCTTTCAACTCATTTCCCCCTCAGTCCTCCATCTGTCCTTTCAGAGAATCGTCAGAGTCGCACACACAAGCCGCCCATCAGGGAAGAGGAGGAGGGAGGGGTCTGGAGGGAAATAGACAGAGCTTCTGATTTTGACACAAAGTGATTTGAGGTCGAATGCTTGAGCACATCCTGTTGTCCAAAGCAAAGCTGTAAACCACTAATGGTTGAGTCAAGGTTTTTGTCAAGCAGGCTCCAGGCACAACACTTATCATCCCGTCAGATGGCTGCACTGTTTTGTTTTGTGTGCCTCTGCATGCGTGTTCGAGAATGTTTTCAGGCTGGGGGAAACAAAAGGAGGTGGGTTAAAAAGGTAAGTGAAAACACCCCAAAATAAAAATAAAACAAAATAATAATAAAAAGAAAGGAACGGCATCTAAAATGCCTGCSGTACAGAGAGGCACAATGATTCTTTGCACGAGAGGAAGCAGTGGCATGCACTCGCATACAAAGGGAAACAAGTGGTCTTTACATGGAGTGCAGCTGCTTATTAAGACTCGCTCCTTCGTGCATTATTCCTTTCATCCCCACTCAACCACAAAGTGATTTGACTGCAAAAGATTTATAATGGACAAATCCCTAATAAATGTTGCAGATCAGTCGCTTCCCTGCAAGTTGCAATWCAATAAACAGAACAGCCCACAAAAGTATCAAACTGGAGAAAATAAAATAAATAAAAAAAACGCTGCGTGGGAGAAAGCAAAGAAGAAAAATAATATGAAAGACTCCAAATCTCTCAAACTTCATAATAGTGAAATGAGCACATATAAATGTGTTAAGAGTATCTCCTTGCATCTTGTATAGACTGCATGTATTTAATCTGTAAAGCTTATTAAGGCCCAGTCATTACTATGCAAAGCAGCACCCAGCGCTTTTCTCTCGCTTTTCAGCCGGGAGCAGTGTTTGGCCAATAGGACTGGCCCCCCGCCTCTCATTCTGCATTCATAACATGCAACATTTGCACAATGTATCTCTCAAAGGCCCTGAATAGAAGGCCTTAATACTCATGTAAACAACTGCAAACCAATTACTTAATGAATCGAGCCCACACATAATGAGGAGCTTCACAAAGGGCTATAAATGCATTTTTGTACCAAAGCCTCTGCTTTAAACTACAATCCCTCTGCTGTAGTCCAGGCTTAACAAGCAAATCATAATTATTGTCTAAGACAACAGAGAAGAAGCCATTTTTGTATTTTGAGTCCAGCTCAGTCCTCCTTTTGAAGTCACTCATCAGCTCGCTGACAAAATAAAGCAAATAATTAACAAGTGGGAAGGAGAGGGGGAACACGAAAATACGGGAAGACAGAGAGAGGAAGAGGGGTAGAGGGATGAAGAAGGGACGAGAGCACCAAAGAGAGTGAGATGCAAAGGGAAGGAGTATGCTGCAGTGTTGGGCTTCTGCTTAAGTGCAAGGTTTTCAGAGCACTTGTGGAAGCAATAAAGCACAAAAAAGTACTGCWGTAAATCTAAGCACTGAGGAGAAATGGGGAAAAAGTCAAGTGAAACAGTAGTACAAACAAAAAAAAGTATAGGAGGTTTCTTGGCTGCGTGTCATTTCAGCTCTTGCAAAATTACAGTGCCAGCATGCATAACTATCCATTTGTACAATTTGACTTATATGTACACCTTATTTCTCATCACTGCATTTTCCTCTACGTTTTGTTCTGCAAATTTTGCTTAATAACACACTTTGCGGATTTCACATGAACATTACTGAGCGGGAGACAGGCACCACCTGAGAGGGCTTTTGCCCAAAATTGGCTCATGTTTATTAAAAACGTTGGTCAGTGGCTCCGGCAGGGGCAGGAGACCACAATACAGCCAGGCCATTAGGCCCTTCCATGGACTAATAGGCAGACAGGAGCGCCTGTTTGCCAGGTCAGACTGACAGACTTTAGCTCTTGTGTCAGCGTGTCGCCTAGTAATCACATGAAATCAGAGAAGATTATTCCTCATAATGTTTACCCAGCCATTACTACAGCCCAAATGGGTTTGCAGTGAAGAGGTGCTCCGAGAACCTAAAATGCAATTGCACATTTGATGAAGTTGTGTTGATATTCATATGTAACCGAGATGGTGTGAGCTTCCACCAGGCTATTTATCATTAGATGTCCTTTCCTTACCCACTTACAGCTCTGATTTGTGCAACCTAAATAATGTTTCAAGGGTGACAAATGGCAGGACATTTGTTCTTATCGGCTCTCAAGTCCCCTTCTTCCGAAACAGTCGTCAGTGATTCTCTTCTTGACATGATCTGTTTGGATTTTGACAACACGCCTGGAAACAGTGAGATTATGGCTACAATTTATTTTTGCGGCCGCTGATTTGCTTTTGAATTCTAAAACCTGGTTGAACCCTGCTAACAGCGAGTAAGAGGGGCTTTAGGGGCCTTTTGTCTTTGTAAGCGAGTTAATGGGTGGCGCCCCCTTGATCTTATGGAAATGAACAGGGAATTATGAGAGCCGCCATGCAAATGTACATCAACCACTTTGGTGTCTGGTGGCCCATTTCCTGTGGCCCGTTGAATAATAACAATGTTCTTACCGAGGGTAAGGGTCTTGATGTGAGGAGCGTTTGGCCCTCCCCGGGTCCTCTTCATGGCCGTGATTTATTCCTTAAAAGAGCAAACAGGCCCAGATAAAACCATTTGATTCTTGATTGATCTCATCACAAGCTAATTTACTATGCATATTTACATTAACTCTTATGATGAAGCTGACGACAAGCTCTGGAAAAGTTTCTCACTTGTAGTCTTAGACTCCCTTGATCAGCACACACACTCCCATGTTTGAGATTTTTGTGAAATCAAAAAAAAAAAAAAAACAATCTTACTTTCTAGGTTGCTCACTACCCTGCTGGTGGATCTCTTACCTGAAAAGCCACTCAGCTCCTCCTCTTCAGAACTCTGCTGCCTTTCATGCATGGCTGATTGTTTGAGTAACTGATATGCTTTTGTCTCTATTCAGGGACAAACACACACACAGACACACACAGAGAAACACACAAAGTCATGGTCAAATATTTGCTCATAAGCCAGGTTTCCAACTTTCAGGCATTTCTGTTTGATGAGACAACAGTTGCTCAGGTTTTTGAACTCAGTGCTGAACAGGGTGAGTGAAAACACAGCTCAGTCTGCTAAAATGTTGATATAAGCTCATTGTACATAACAACAGTTTCCACGAGACAGCATTCGACGTAATTTCAACATCTATTATCTGAAAGCCAATGATAGTTTTATGTTAAAAATGYGTTTTTTTTACGCATTAAAATAGATACAAAGGCTGCACTGTCAAAAATAAACACAAAACAGCACAATGTATAGATTTGCTGCTGTAGAAATGATGATGTACACACAGATATTAAATCAGAGAGAGAGAAAAGGAGTATTTTGTTCAAATAAAAACTGTTGCGTAGTTTTTCAATAAAAATTCTGTTTTAAATACTTTGTGCATAGCATCCTTCTCTATTYCACTGAAAGCTTTCATACAGCCACTGTTTTTTCACATTCTCTTAAAAAACGTAATAGCATATGTCTCTGCAATTACTATCAGTTCCAAGGTCAAGGTATTTGATTGCGACATGGATATCTCTCAGTGCAGCAAAACCTGTCTCTTGCAAAATCTTTAGTCATTTTTTTTAGCTGTTTACAGCTCTTTTGATTAAGTGCAGCAATCGGAAACTGGACTCCTTTTGCTGGCTGTGCACTTTAGGGATGCAGGCACATGAAACACCCAGTTGGAAATCTGAAAGGCAGGATTGCTTTACATTTCAGAGGTGCAGCTGAGGGACGGGCACACCGACTGCTTCCAGGATGCCGTCACATCTAGTATTTTTTTCAAGTCCAGCCTTGCCGGAGCATTGTTTAGAAGATAATGAGAGCCGATGACAGATCTTGCGCGCTGCCCACCCCGGCGCCCTGACAATTAAAGCCGCTGCATTATGCTGGGCCAGCGAATTATGAGTCCTGGTAGAATGCCTCAGACCAGGCTCGAAACGCGGCTAGTGTTTTCTCGGAGATAATTAGAGAGAACTAGTGCAGCTCTTCAGGTGGGACTTTGACCTTGGATTCACCTTGATCATCCTGCCTCAGCCATTGTGTAAAAGAGCCCATTATTCACTGCAGTGGGAAGAAAAACAAACCACAACATAAGGGCAGTGTGAACGCTGAGGCACCAGTAATGCCTTTTTACCTCTAATAGGACCACTTTCCACAAGGCTTTCGTCCTGGCTGTCCTCTTCAGTGCTTTGTAGTTCTGTAAGAAAGGGAAACACATAGGGAGAAGCAATGGCAAGGAGGAAGGGGGTCTTGCACAGAAATGGAAAAGTGGGGGTCCTTTTTAGGTTTCAATGGATGGCGGTAAAAAAACTGGGCTACAAAAGCTCATAAAAATTGTCTATGATGAACTGAATTTCTGCCATAAATGATTTTCACAGCAAAAGACGTTTGTAAGAGACTAAACATTTTTTTTATACAGTGACAGGTCTTAAAACCATAAACCATTCCCGCATTTAAATATCTTTAGTATTATCACTGTATTTATAATTCAGCATGCATTGAAAACTAATATTCCCCAGTTACCTCGAATATGTTGCTTGCATACTGTTTGGGCGGGCTTCACATCAGTGTCGGCCAAGAGAGGAGAAGAACCCCGCAAAGAAGATAAGTCACTCTTGTCCTCCGCCGAGGGGCACTCCTCACTGGACCGCGAGAGAAGTGTCCTCAGCAACACTTTGGCCTGCGTGCAACACAAATTAAAACCACACTCTTAATTGTTCTCATTTTGTGAAGGAAGCATTAAATTGAACTTTGCCACGGCTGCTCACACAGAGGTGCAGCTGAAATGTGTGTTCAAATGCCAAGAGCCAATAACTTCAAATTCTCTCACTCGTTTAAAAAAAAATTACTTCACACGCTTTTGTTCCTGCTCCCCCCCCCACTCAATCCATTTTTCCCCCTCCACTCTCTCTCTCTTCTCATCCATGAGATTAGAGAATTTTCTAAAGAATGCAATCACCCTGGCATTAATGTGCAACACGTTTCAGATAGCTTTCCTCTTTGCTGAGAGGGTTTGAGACAAACTACTCTCCTTCCTCTTTCTCCAGCTCATTTTTTATCTCTGCGGAGATGAGGATAGACAATTAAGAGAAGCTGTTCGGGGAGATGAGGAGCAGGGAGATGCCACACACAGATTTCCTTTCCTTCCCCCTTTTTTCCCTCCCTCATATCAAATTCTGCCATCATCATCTCTCTTTTGTGATCAAAGACTGCCTCTCAGCCTTGGATGGAGGTTTGGAACTTTTAATGAACACTAATGTGAAGGGGACGATCAGGGGGATTTTGACAACGACAAACTTTAAGTACAATGTAAGTTGTTATCAGCAGGCCAAAGAAAAAATGATTGATAATGTGCACACTTTCGTTTTCTGAGAAGAAAAAAAGACATGACAGTCTGAAGTTTGGGATTTGAAGCAACTGCACAATAAAAACTGTCTTGATCCTTGTCCCCTGAATCTCTTTTTGTTTTTTTGTTTTAGATTTAGTCAAATGTACCATGAGTTGAGGGCTCTCGCAAATCCACTGCATTTTAAATATCAATGAATGCAACTGTTAGCACTTGAATATTCAAAGGACCTCTTTGAGTGTGTGCATGCGAGCTGCATGCTCCCGTTTGTTGAGAGTCGCTGGGCTGCGCGGTAGGACGTGAATGGAAATTTCTGTTTGCACTCGTGTGTGGAGAGTGAAGCTGTTGTGTGAGAGGACAGAAAGAGAGATGGAGAAATAGAGGACAGGGGAGAGAAATTGATGGAAAAAGACTCGGAGTGATAAAGGAAGAGAAAGATTTCACTCAGGCTTTTCCTGATGCACTTGGATACAATGATGTAGATGGTGGTAGCCCTCTTCCTTTTGTCAGTTCATATTTTCAAGAGGCTCTACAGTCTCTCTTTGCCTCTCTCATGGCGATGAAGCCACAGCAGCAAGATATCAAAGCCACAAGAAGCACAATGAGTCTGTAAAAACTAATTACAGTCCATAGTTGTCCTGCAAACATAAATTATCTCTTGATGTCATACTTAAATTGTGAATGGCAATATTTTTTCCACGTCTTTCCCTTGCTTAAATTAACACGAACTGCATCAATAAGTGGAAGATTTAATTCAATACCAAAGAGGAAGAGGCTACAATAGCTAAATCCAGGGTTCCCACACCTTGGTCAACATCAAATTCAAGGATATTTCAAGGACTTTCCAGTACCAATTTTCTCAACTTCAAGAACCACGCGCAAAGACAATTACCTCCTGCTACCCCAGAATGTTACTAATACACAGGTTTAATATCATGTAAATTCAATGAAAAACTAAACAACATAGAAGTTGTTGAGTCAGAATCAATTAAGTCAGTTTACCATAATCCTGAGTTATTCACCGCAACAAATCTAAGTTTTTTTAAACTTAATTTTATAATTTATTTTTTTAAAGATGATGAAAATCAGTCGTGTGAATAGAGAATTTCAATCCCTAAAAAACATTCAAGGACTTTCAAGGACAAGTGTAATTTTTGGCTGTTTTCACAAACTTTCCAGGGCCTTGAAATATTTTTTTCAAATTCACAAACTTTCAAGGATTTCAAGGACCCGTGGGAACCCTGTAAATCTTAAACAGAAGTGAATTTCAGAAAATACACCTCATTAATTGAAAGAAGGTAAGCTGAAGCTGTAATTTGCAGGTACTGAAGGGATCATGTGTGGAGCCATTTGACGAGTATGAAGCAATTTGAATTCAAGCACATAAAGCACACCATTGTTCCAACTTCCCTTTAAAAACATTGTATAAAACAAGAAAAAATTCTAGGYGCAAAATCAGCCTCCTTTACAATCCAGCTGTGTGTAAATATAGATGCCAGTGACTTATCTTCTCTTATTTGTGTGTGTTCTGTGGGCAGTATATGGGCCTTTGACGCTACCTGCTGGCTGTAGGTGGCATCACGCCTCAGTAAGAGCGGCGTAAACAGTCGGACCAAGTGCTCGGTGCTGAGAACACGCTGCTCCTTGAGCACAAGGGCGTGCTTGAACCAGCGATCCCACAGCCGAGCCACGTTGGGAGGAAGGCTGGTGCTGCGGTGAGAGTGGGGGATGGGCAAAAAACGAAGGAAAAAAGGAACGTTTTGTTAACTACACAGTAAGAAATATCAAAATAAGACATGATTATACATTCATATAGTCCTGGATTCTTTAATTAGCAAAACAAACGAGCCCGTTTGAAACAACATATTTCATTTATTTTACTTTTTATTTCTTAAGATGAATTTTGCTTCCTGTGCCGTTTCTAAACAATTTAACAGCTATAGATTATTGATCAATTTCTAGACACTAAATAGACACAGAAAGTARTATAGCTTCAGCTTGAAAAACTGGATAAAAAGTCGAGGTCACCCAACTGGCATCARCAGAGAGCAGCGCTGCCAGATGTGTCTCTCAGAACTGAGTATACAATAAGAAAGGTCTCAGTAAAATCAATAGGGTAGTGAAGCAGAACATAGATTTGGCTCAGAGTGTAACTACTCATTATCCAAAGGACTGGAAGTCGCAGATAGGGGCATTTTAATTTACTCATGACATTCACCCATGCAGTGTTGCTGTATGAGTTGACACCAAAGATGACCTTTTACATTTTGTGGACAAGGGAGACCGATCAAACATCGAGCATGCAATATCTCAGTAACTGCAGGAGGTGTAACCCTCCTTAGGGACTGGTAAAAGAAAAATAAAATAGTTTTTTTTAACCTGAAAAGTAGAATTCACTTTTATTGTGTCTGTTCTCAGAAGTCTATTGAACTGTAGCTTTCAGAGAACTGATATTTGTGCTCTGCATTATTCTCTTATACACACACGTGGGCAAAATTGTTGGTACCCCTCGTTTTAAAGAAAGAAAAACCCACAACAGTTACAGAAAAAACTTGAATCTGACAAAAGTAATAATAAATAAAAACTCTATAAAAATGAACAAATGAAAGTCAGACATTGCTTTTCAGCCATGCTTCAGCTGAATTACAAAAAAATAAATAAAACTTGTAAAACAGGACTGGACAGAAATGATGGTACCCTTAACTTAATATTTCGTTGCACAACCTATTGAGGCAATAATCAAATGATTCCTGTAGCTGTCAATGAGACTTCTGCACCTCTCAGAAGTATTTTGGCCAACTCCTCATGAGCAAATTGGTTCAGAGGTCTCAGGTTTAAASGGTGCCTTTTCCAGACGGCAAGTTTCAGCTCCTTCCAAAGATGCTCATAGGATTTAGATCAGGGCTCATAGAAGGCCACTTCAGAACAGTCCAATGTTTTCCTCTTATCCATTCTTGGGTGATATTAGCTGTGTTTTGGGTCATTATMCTGTTGCAAGACCCATGACCTGTGACTGARACCAAGCKTTCTGACACTGGGCAGCACATTTCGCTCTAGAATCCCTTGATAGTCTTGAGATTTCAATGTACCCTGCACAGATTTAAGACACCCTGAGCCAGATGCAGCAAAGCAGCCCCAAAACACAACAGAGCTTCCTCCATGTTTCACAGTGTTCTTTTCTTTACATGCTTCAATTTTCCATCTGTGAACATAGAGCTGATGTGCCTTGCCAAAAAGTTCAGTTTTTGTCTCATCTGTCCATAAGACATTCTCCCAGAAGCTTTGTCAACATGCAGTTTGGCAAATTCCAATAGGGCTTTTTTATGATTTGATGTCTTCCTTGGTCGTCTCCCATTAAGTCCACTTTGGTTCAAACAATGACAGGTGGTGCAATCTGACACTGATGTTCCTTGAGCGTGAAGTTCACCTTTTTAATCTCTTTAGAAGTTTTTCTGGGATTTTTTGTTACCATTTGCATTAGCCGTCTCTTTGACTTGTCATCAGTTTTCCTCCTCCAGCCACGTTCAGGGATGCTGGCTACAGTCCCGTGGATCTTAAATTTCTAAATAATTTGTGCAGCTGTAGTCGCAGGAACATCAAGCTGCTTGGAGATGGTCTTATAACCTTTACCTTTAACATGCTTGTGTATAATTTTCTTACTAATCCTGAGACAACTCTTTCCTTTGCTTCCTGTGGTCCATGTGGAGTGTGGTACACACCATGTCACCAAACAGCACAGTGACTGATTACAAGATTGTAGACACCTGCRATACTAATTAGTGGACACAACTTGATTTAACATGTCCCTTTGGCCACATTATTTTCAGGGGTACCATCATTTCTGTCCAGGCCTGTTTTACGAGTTTAATTTTATTTTTTTTATTCTGTTGAAGCATGGCTGAAAAGCAAACTCTAACTTTCATTTATTCATTTTTATAGAATTTTTATTTATTATWACTTTTGTCAGATTCAAGTTATTCCTGTGAGCATTGTGGGGTTTTCTTTCATTAAACAAGGGGTACTAATAATTTTGTTTACGTATGGAGCTGGAGACAGGAGACAGCATTGTCTAAACATTATTTTGAAAACCTACTAATCRCAAAATTTTAGCAACATGCTGGAGATAAGTGCAATGCACCTTTTTAACTTTCTAAGCATTTAGGTTTTTAAATGTAGAATTATGTGGCAAAATAACTAAATGACTCAAACAATGTTCCACGAATACCCGAATGAGGTTAGATTGTAATCAAACTGGACAAAACACAAAAATGCAGAAAAACCATCCAAACACTGATGCCAGTGTTTGGCTTTGGGTTCACAAAGAAACCATAAGCCTTACCTTACGTCATTAGGCTCAGYGCTGGACTGATGTGCACTCACTACATCCTGTGGAAGCAGGCAGCCCTTTTCCGTGCTCCATGACAACCTCTGAAGCTCATGAAGGACGACTGCTCCACATGCTYCAAGGTCCTCGTCATTCAAGCCTGCTCCAGCGTCACAAAGGCTGCCCAATATATAGAGAGCAGTCAGCTATTGTAATGGAGCCCTGGGCTGAGCCCCAGGTCAGGAGCACAAATAGAAAATATAKATTTATWTACAGTATATAAAGAAATACACRGTAACATACTAAGCAAGTATAATTATACACAATGCAGCTAAACACTGTGAGAACACCAAATGATCGCCCTTTATTAGTGAAGATTAGTAAATAAAGTACATTTTAAAAAAGGGAGAACACTTTCTTCTGCTTCACTCCCCTTTCTGCTCAAAAGAGCAGCAATTATCGTAAATGAAACATGTCATGATGTATAAAAAGCTTATAAAAAAAGAAACCCGGTCTAATGAAACACATGCCCCCATCCTCTATCCCTACAACTCCCAATAACAATTCAGCTGGGTGGTTACTATAACAATCGCATGCGTTTGAAAACCTCTCAGAAATAAAGACGCACGCCTGACGGTGATGACACTTCATCTAATGTGAGAGCCCTTAGCAGAAGGATAATATGTTTTTCTCATCCGTACAAACTGCTCCATGACCATAAAATAAATTTACATGGGATTTCATTTAGACAGGGAGAGATAAGATTTTTAAGTCTGAGGAAAGGAAAGAAAAGATGYACCTGATGATTCTGTTGAATTGCGTTCCTTCAATTTGAGAATCCCTGTACACAGGGATCCGCTCAGCATAGAGTCGTCCTTCGATGCAGTCTAGCAGATTAAAGAGTCCTTCAACAGAGAGGCTAAAAAAAGGAATATTGTGGTGAAAGGAAAGAAAAGTGAAGGAGGTCATATGATCAATTGGCTTACAGTCTTCAAAAAAAATAAAGTCTGCCTTTTGATTGAAAATTTTGTGATACTTTTTTCTTCAGGCAATTTCCTTGAGATACTCAAGGACTTTTTGAGAATGTGGTCATCAAAATGTGATAGCCACAAAACAGGATTTCAACACTTCACCGTGTCTGGTGATGGTGCCACAAGTAATAACAGGTTGCATGTAAAAGCTTTGACATCTGGCACTTGAAACGAGAACTTGTGGCATTAGCTGCTCAAGTAAAATAAACGACATCAGTTCTGACTTGGTAAATTCTAAAACTATCCATCCGTCCTTCCATTTTCTTTACCCACTCCTTCTCCTTCTCCAAGCTGGTGTCCCAAATTCTGCAATTATTAAAAATAATATGATAATAAAATGAAAAGGTAATGAAAACACTGGCACAGTTTCATAGTTAACAGAGCAGAAAAAAAGCGGGGGCCTCTGGATGTATTCTTTTGGTGAGAGATTTACACTTTAATCTGGTCCTGTGTGAGGCAAAATGAGAAATGGATGCCTAATGCATGTGGATATTGAGAATCCATCTCTTTCTTGGGCATTAAGCTCTGGGTGGCCCTCATTGAATTCTCCCAGAAACCCCAAGCTGAGAAATTCTGAGCTGTCTTCCATAAAGAGGGGCCAAAAAGAATTTATGACAATCTCTAATAGGCTCTTGGGTTAGGGGTCAGCAAACAATTGCTCCTTCCTTTTTGCAGGTTGTTTCCTGGTAACATCCTGATTAAGCTGGCAGCTTTGAATTATATCCATGACATTTTGTAGTGYGCATTTCATCTGTGCCACGTCCACTTCAGTGTGACTGAAGTTGAATAGGCAAAACCTGCGCCTTTTCTTTTCCATTCCTTATCGCCAGTGTGGACCTTGAAGTAATCATCTTTCTTTTTTTTCCCCCACTTTATTTGTCAAAGCTCTTCAAAACAAGACGTTTAGAGAGGGAGAAAGTGAATTAATTACGTTTTTCCCCTGCAAACACCGCTCTTATTTTTATTCTCATCATGTCAAGGTCTCTAACCTCACTTTAGATGCTGCTGTTGTCCTGGAATGTATTGTAGGAGGAAGAGGTCAGCAGTAATACTGCTCTACAGCATACAGTGCTGACTCTGGGGTGATTTACCAGACAGAAAAAACTAAAAAATTAGTGATTAGTGCCAAGGGAAACTCACCATGCTCATAGAAACAGAAAAAAAAAACACATAAATGAACCCTAAATAATATAACCAGTATGGAGCTAAAAAGCTATAATTAAAAACTTTCACAGAGACACACTTTGGAATACTGGTAACAGTACTGTCCTAATAAATTGCAAATACAATAATCTTAATTTTAAACCATCAATATTGTTTCCACCAGACTAGAATGTCCTGGGTTCTGTTAGGCACAATGTAATGGTATGACATTTTGTCAACAACAAAAAAAAAAAAAACAGACATTGTGCAGTTAGGAAAAAGTATATTTGTGAAGAGAACACACTGAGGCCATTATGAATCACCTCTAAGAAGAAACCCAGACAATATTTCAGTCTCACTCACTCTGGCCATGCCAGAGAAGAAATATAATGGGATAATCTAATGAATTGCCCGGGCCTGGTCTTGAATGGAGGGAGCGATATAAACTCTAACCTTAAGGGGAAAAAAGAGAGGGAGAGGATAGAGACTGGATGCTCTCTGAGCTTTACATCAAAGCCTTTGGTTTTCTCCTCGCACACAGAAGCGCTCTGTGTTAACAATGAAAGCTGCAGCCCCCACCACCGTCTCGCCGACACAGGCTAACGGCAGCTCCTCTTAGGATCAGACCGTAAAAAAATGCGGTTGACCACACATAAACGTCCCCAGGCGTAAACATGCTGCGCTCTCGGGAGAGAAATTATAATCCCTCAAACTACTTGTAAAACATAATGGCTGCACCAATTTTTTAAAGCAATGCTTTTTGTATGAGAAAATGCTGAGAAAGACCCTTCATCTCTGCCAAATTGTTGCATTAAAAAAATTCCATTTTTATGACAATATAAATTTCATAAAAAATTAATAAAATTCATATGCACAGTGTAAACACAGAGTAATCTAATGTAATGTAAGCAAGGAGAGAAACAAAAGCAAAAAAGCAAAAATATGGTGCAAAAGCTAAAGAGGACCTGTTTTTAACACAGTTTACATTGCGAGGGAAAAAGCAGACAGATTGTGTGCAAACATTCACGTGGGATTTTCTGTGGCTCTGACTCCATCCAAAGTGATCCTTCAACTCAGAAGCCATCATCACGCTAAGGATTTGTGGCAGTAAGTGCTGTCCACATGCCCACCCTCCAGAACACTCTATGGTGCCACAATTTCCTCCTCCACTGGGGACTTCCTGAGGTCTCTCAAGCAGAAAATTGCTCTGTTACGGCATTATCTTGGATTATGGCAATATTGTTGTGGACAGGTCCTGAGCTCTCCCTATAAGATGCATCACTGCTGCTAGAACTGCTGGGAATGCTGAACCACAGACAACATGGTGGCATCGAGTGTGACTGACCAGAATTCTCTCTTTCACCCTCAGAAGTGATGCTTACAAAGAACGCTACAGTGACTTTAYCCACAATCATTGACAGCCGTATGTGCTTCAGCATCGTCATGTAGAACCTGCCTTCTTTACTTGCTTAGTAGGAACTTTATAAACACRCTCTTTATTGCAAAAATAAATCACAAAGAATAAGCAATTTATCTTTTAAAAAGGTCCTACTTTTAAAATTCTAGAAAATAAAGAAAAGTTTTACATGCTGTACCTTTTCAAGGTCACCGCTGGTGCTGAGGATTCACTATTCAGCTGTGGTGTGTTTGCAGACATGTTGGAGTGGAGGGATGATTCGGGACAGTGCTGTTTGTGATCATCCATTTCTCGGTGAGAGGCATTTCTCTCAGGTGCTACATCCTCTGGTAAATCCTCCTCCAGCTCAGATTGTGTCAGAGAAATTGTCAGGTCACTGGCACTGCTCTCTGACAACTGCACATCCGAGCTCGGTTCACTGACACTCTCACATTTACCTGAATGTAAACAAACCACATGGTATCACTTGTTTTCTTAGAAAGAAATCTTCAAAGGGCAAAATAAAGTGCTGCAAACYGTCAATTTCTGTAAAGGCAAATAAAAGCTGCCGCATGGCAGTGGRGAAGAAATGTCCCTGCAAACCTGGTGTCTCTTGAGCTTCTTTTCCAAAAGTGGTTTCAGGTATCAAACGGCCAAGACCTCTCTCTTCATCTCCCATTATGAGTGCTTCGTGAACAACCTCTTGCGAGTTGGTGTGTTCTGCAGGGGGATTCTTAGCCCTCGTCGGGTTACTGTTACTGCAAGAATGATTCTTCTCAGACCCTGYCAAGGTCACCGGAGGGGAAGTTTCTTGTTCATCATCACTTCCAAAAGCCACACTACCAGCTGCGGCTGTTAAGGCACGAACAGATGGGAGCAGCCCCGGCGTTCTTTCATGTTTGTCACTCAAATTGCAGCCGTCAGGGGAATCGTTTGAGCCTGAAATGTCAACTGATAAATGCGATCGCTTACTGGCGGCATCCTCTCCGCCAACTCTGAAGTTCTTCAAAAGGCCACTTGGTAGACATTCACGGGAGTGCACGCTGTGATTGGGTGAACGATGCAATGCTTGGTGTGAGTGTACACTTGTGGTGCCAGCTTCAGTGTCGGGGCCTGTAGAGGTCCGCTGGTCTATAAAAAGTCCTACTGGTGATTGTTCAAAATCCTTCACCGAGTGAGAAAAAATGACATCCTGTTGCTGTTTATGCACAGTTTCAATCTGCATACAAGAAAAAATTATAAACTGTAACATGAATATTCTATTAAAACCTATCAATTATTTTGTAACAAATGTTTTGTTTGAAGTCTGAATTATTTTTCTGACGTTAAATTGGCGTTATCCTGAAAGAAATGCTAAATATTCCTTTTCACACTTTAGAATAAGTGTTAGTTTATGTAGGCAAAGGTCAGAATGGTTTTTTTTCTCAAAACAGTTTTTACAGAGGAATGTGTCAGGATCAACGTTTTAACTTTTAATCTTACAAAAAAAAAATCCTTTAGACAAGTTTTGATTCATGTCTGCAATGTCACCAAGGGCAGAGAGAGAGAGAAAGCAAAAAAGCCTCCCTCCAAGCATTACAACAAAAAGCATGGCTTCTGTTTCTTTTCTGATAAGCGTCTTAAATACCAAACAGTTAGCTGCTTAATAACATTCACTGTAAACCATGCAGCCTGCCCAGCAGATCCACAAAGTAGGTAAAAAAAGAGGGAAAGTTAATTTCTTGGCTGAGTGATTCCATCGGTAGCTGCAGGGCAAAGTAGAAAGTGTTTCACTAAAGTAGCAATTGATTCTTCTATCAATCTGCGGCACGCGTGTGCTCTTCCAAGGAATGTATTAAATATGAAAATCATATCCCGTTATCATCTGTCTCCAGCTTTCAGCCCGGTAAGCTTTCCTTAATGAATGCTGCAGCCTGAGGGACATGCACACTGCCAGCCAATGGCTTGTATGCATAATGGAGTGACGGTACCATTTTACTCATTACAATATCGACAGGCTGAGGGGGGGTTTGCACACAGTTACAAGTGACTGCTCTAGACAGCATGCTCCAAGTTATTATGAGATGTCTTAGACATTTCATCTAAAAGAGCTTTAACTGCTTTAAGTGAATGGAGAAAGCGGCTATGGGCTTGAACTACATTGCTTGTACAGATTCACCAGCTAGGATTAGACACCTGTGCTATTACAGATACACAGTTTAAATGTAGACTTCTCTACAGATTTAACAGGCGTAATGTCGACTTTCTTTTGTAACTCCAAACCTGAAAGCACAACTTGAATGGGCTAAAATTTGCATAAACCTTGTAAACATTTCAAAATAGAAGGATCTATTATACAAAAAATAAATAAATAAAACAAATGCTGTTTTTAAATTGCTCAAAGAGCTGCAAAAGGAAAGCAGAGGTTATAGTTGTAAAAATGTAATGTGCTTTTCTATTTAATATTTTTTATGCAATGTAATAATGTTCATTCCAACAATAAATATTAGTATTATCACACGTTTTATTTTTATGCTAATATTACCTTTTCTGCTTTCAAGTTGGTCTCCATGTTTTTATTTACTTCCTTAAATTGGGAAATCCTTTTCAAAAAGTCAGCCTGTATGGTAAAAAGATAAAACAAAACACACAAAAGAGATAAATAACATTTATTGCATTTGTGCTTCATGTGTCAATTTCTAATATTGGGACTTCTTGAAAATGTGTTTTGATCTAATTGCTAATTCATTTTGCATGAAAAAAACTACAAGGAAACTTTGTTTTTTTRATTAATGTAACCTGATGACTCCTGTCTGATCTAAAACACACTCATACACACACTTAGGAGAATAAAAAATGACTTATTGTCTTTAAAGCAAACAGCAAAAATGTCTCAAACATGCTGACTCCAAGAATCTTTAATAACTTTTCTGTTCAATTCAATTCAATTCAATTCAATTCAATTCAATTCAATAATATTTTGTTGATCCCAACGGGAAATTAGATGTATGTTTTCATTTAATTGTTGAAATGTAGTACTTCTTCAATTAAAAATCCACAACTATCCCAACAAAAGCACATAAATATACACAAATAAAAACGTGAACATGTACATGGTGACCATTCAAAATTATAAAATGAAAATCATCATAAATGATGAACCACAATGATGGTGATTTAAAAAAAAGGGGAGACAAAGTTCAACAGAACAACCAAAATAGCGGCAAACATCTCGGACTAAAAGCATGGAGAGGAATAAACCAACTGCTTGAGGGGAGAGAATGACTAAACCTCCGGAGCACTTCAGAGTCTCTATATTGGGTAATTAACTCAGTGAGTCATAATTAGCCAATTTTGTTAATTTGATATTAAGCTGTCAAGCACTGTCATTGAGTTTTAAGTGATAATCTGACAGGCTCATTGTTTTGTCCCTTGTTCATTTGCTTGTGGTGATAAATTGCGCTGTTTGAGTGTTTACTACTTTCACATCAAGCCATTGCAACCGAATGAAATGGCCTGTCTACTTGTCTATGTCTGCTGTGCATGTTTTATGTTTTAAATTCACAGAGAARCACTTAGGCAAATGCATATGAAATGGAAGTGAATTGTTAATTTCCTCAAGTCATTTTCAATAGTAACGTATTTTTATTTTTCCAAAGACACTAATCAAAACAATATGAATAAGTCAAAACCTAATATATAAAAAGAGTAGCATAAACTTGGTTCAATGTCTGTGGGTGAATCTTACAATTAAAAGCTTAATTAGAAAAATAAATTTAAGTCACTGAATCAATGTAAATGTGTGTGTGAATACATGCAATACCTTTTGTTTTTCCAGGCGACCCAGGTCAGGATTATAATCCTTCATGCTAATTTCAATGCTCTTCACATCTCTCTGAAGTTCAAGGTTTCTCATTTTTGCCCGTGCTTCTCTGTCACAGATTTCTTTGAGATAACTGCGCAGTTTGGAACATCTTATCTGCATGCTGAAAGCAGTGGAGAACCATTATTCAAAAGAAGTATTATCTAGGAACACTGTCAAAAACTAAGAGCTAGGCTTCTCACAAGAAAAGGTTAAGCACAATATGATTTAAATTTAAATCTTGTTCWCAACCCTCTTTTCAACTTGAGTTTTGCTGTTGTGACCTGGAATCCAAATATCTATGAACGTAAATTGACAATCTCAATGAAAATGGCCACTTGTACAGAAAACCAAACAGWCAATAAATACAATACTTCTGCTAAAGAGATTATTTCATTTGTAGGCATTTGCTTCTTTTCCCTCACACACACACACACATTTGGCACAGAACTGTGCAAAATTTTAAATCACCTATTCTTCTTTTTGTAGGCTGCTCACCTGCTTTTTTTACCCCCCCACCTCTCTGGGAACTTCACATATCCACTATCCCTCCTCTGCACAAGTCCAAACCATTTCTTGCCCCCCACCCCCAACTTAACACTCACAATGAAAATCTATTCAAAYCACTCCTAATTTTATTATATTTTGCTTCAGATAGACTTTATATAATTGTTTTCTCATGATTTCTTTTAAACATTTTTTCTCCTTGCTTTTCCATTTATTTTTTGTCCAAAAAAAGAACAGTGATTAAACAAACAAATACCTTTCAGAATGCCAAACTGCTTAAAAAATACATGTATGGCTCTTTGAAAGCAAAAATATCAACACTTTTGACTTAAGATAAGATGTACTGTTTGGTATGTCTGTGTATGAATGTTTTTTATTCAATAAGCAAACTGATGTTAAAGCTTGGTGATATAAAAACAGGCATGTATTTATTACAAATCATTTTGTTATTAATTTGATAGATAGATAGATAGATAGATAGATAGATAGATAGATAGATAGATAGATAGATAGATAGATAGATAGATAGATAGATAGATAGATAGATANTAGATAGATAGATAGATAGATAGATAGATAGATAGATAGATAGATAGATAGATAGATAGATAGATAGATAGATAGATAGATAGATAGATAGATGCTACAGCACTCAGTATAACTTACATTCTCGTATCTGATCTGGAGAAAGCAAACAGTTCCCTCTCCAGCTCCATTCTTCGTTTCTCGCTGCAGACAGACAAACAGAAATTCAGCTTTTGTTTCGGCTAAATRTTAGCATTAGCTGTAGCCACCAACTATGGAAACCGCTCCTTAATTAACACGAACCATGCAAAAACAGCGCGCTTCTAAACAACCAAACATTTMTTTACCAAGGTCAACTCAACCTTCTCTTGATGGAGGAAAACGTCCAGAAGTTACCGCTGTTAGCCATAGCCCCTGAGATAAAGCTAGCGAAGTCCTCGCCGAACCCAAGCGGCAAACGGACGCAACCAAGGCGGTAAGGGTATCGACTTGAGCCCGCGGTCTAGCGGGCCGCGCTTCTGTAAAAAAAAACACAACAACAAAGAAACAGCGAAACCTTACCTTTTATGCATAGTCCGCTGAATAGTTTCAATCTTTTTATAATACTGGTCCTCGCCTGCCATTTTAGCTCGCTTTGGCTGTGCTGCAGGCTTCCAGACAGGGAAAAGATGAGCAGAAGAGGAGGAGGGAGAAGGACGGATGTGTTTACGTAGGTTACCACGGAAACCGCTTCCCAGAAGTCTCTGCGGGTAAACAGAGACCACATGGGGAGAAAGGACGCGGCGGCTACTGCTCAGTGTAACAATTAACTGGACTTTGCATTACAAAATATCTTAAGGTTAGAAAAGTTGTGTGTTTTTATAATAACCTGTAATTTTTTTTACTTTAACAAACGCCTATAAACGTGTTTAAAATGCCATTTCCGATTGTTAGTGGAGGTTGTTTCCTGAATGTCATCTATCAGCCTTTCTTCTGATAAGCTACCCCTTCTCTGACAGATACAGATTCATATCTCTTTTAGTCAGGGGACTGCAATAACCTATCATCTTAGATGTAATCTTATATTATCAAAGTTCATCACTGACAGTTCTTAAAATGTCATGTTTTTGCCTTTAACTGAATGCAATTTTCTGAAAGCCACAACACCACGCGTCCTCCCTAGGATTTCTGAAATTGACAGCCCCTCCAAATGCACATCCTAATCAACCAATTTCCTCCAATTCCAGTCCAATCAAATTGCTCTTTTAGCAGTTGAACTGGGTAGTTTTGTTGTCCTTTTCTAATGCTAATCTGCTCTATTCAGCATCTCTCTATGAGGCTATTTGTTGTGAAATAAATCCCCTTGTTTGCCTCCAGCATGTATAATTGATATTGTTGCCAGGCTTTTTGTTTGTGCCATAAAGAGCTGAAAGGCAGTACTTTGGAGGCAATGAAGAAAATGAGACTTGCAGCACCGCTGTTCCAGCTGAGCATAGCCAAGGTTGTTGCCTTCAAGCCTATTTGTTTGATGCAGAACAGTGCATTTATGATTACTTGCAGTCTAATGTATTAATAAACTTAATGTTTTATATGCATATGTTACATTTTTGCTTTCTCCACTGTATAGATGTGCACAAAGAGCTTCTGTCAAATCAGGAGAAAAGCCTGGATTGAATTTTTGTTTTGTAATATGATGGTGAGTACAATTTCAATTGTTTTATTGGAAAATAAAACAAACATTTWTTAACTACTTCCATACAACTTATACATATTTGTTTAATTTATAAATGTAACATATAGTTATCTAGAATAGTAACCAATTAGACAATCAGGGACACATTTTGCAAAATGGTGAAATAGAGTCAGAAATAGGAACAAAAACATATAAAGAGTGCATTATTTGCACTTTATTACCCGAGTAGTTGGAATTAAAATTTTTTTAATACAATGTAGTTTTATTTTACAGGGTCTTTGCATTGCTTTCTTTTTTTCTGCAGCTCCTCTGACAACCTACAATGTGTATTATCRTTGATATGCCCTAACAGAGGTCACAATTTGCATGAGAATTAACAGCTAGTAAATTAAATTGATATTCAGTGCACATCTCCATTGAATCCTTCAGACCTTTGTTCCCCTGCTTGGCAGAACTCGTGTTCAGCCCCCTAGCTAGTCGAAAACATCTGTGCAGTTAATAATTTGATAAACAGCTTACACAAATTATCTTTGCCGCCCCCCTCCCCATTTCTCCATCGTCTTGTGCAAGACTTGGAACAGTTGGCTCACCTTTTTGTAGTGTTGGCTTTATCTAGCTATTTTTTTTCTTGTGGTTCTGGTTTTCATGGTTTAATACTAAAGCACTGTACGGGGGTCAAACCAAAAAGTTCAGTCCTCATTTACTAAGAAAAAAAAGTGTTGGTGCTCTCAGTTGTAGAATAATACATTTGGTGAGWTTTTTTTTTAAATCATTGCTGGCTCTGTCTGGTTAACATTTGCAAAACGTGTTAAATAGCTCTGACATTTAAAACACAACAATACCAACTCGTGTTCAGTTGAAACCCATTGAATCTCCTGAACTCACATGATTAAATGTGAAATTGCGAACTGAGGTTTGACATTTTTYCCCCCCAGAGAGCTTCCTGTAGCAAAGTGTAAAAGCTTTTAAGTTCCACATGTTAATCCTGTGGTCACTTGTTTCTGTAATTGTCTGATAATACCAGTGAAAGAGACTTTACAGAGCTTTTATGACTCTTATAGTAGTTGGCAGAGCTTTAGCTTATACACAATAGTGTGAGCGAAAACATTATCACTCGCCTATAGCAGCAGTTTTAGCGGTGGGCGATAAACATTGAAATCTCCACACTGCTGGCCCATGTGACTAGATATGTGGTCACATTTTATTTGTGTGTTCATCTTTTGTGAGTGTGCTTTTGTCTTTGAGAGGACAGCAATTAGCTAAGTGCTATCAAGTGGATGAAAAGCTGCAACAAATCCTTTTCATAATTTTATGGAAAAGAAAGCTGACCAAATAGAATGGAAGTGAGTGGAACTGCTTTCCAATGCTTGCCTTTTTGGTTACAACTTAAAAAGGAATTGAACACTAAGAGGGCATGGTAAGTGACAGTATGCTCAGACCAACTGTTGATGTTTTTTATTTTTTATTTTTTTGTCTTTTTAGTTTGGGCAAGAAGAAAACTAAGTTATAGCAGTTTTCCTCCCAATTGTTTTGCAAAWATCCGATAGATTCTACTAATTCAAGTAGGAAAATATTGTGATTAGATCATGTTAGTAGTAATGTAGTCAATTCAATAATCCAACTTACATCCTTAAAGTACGATCTATCTCTCAAATTCAGCAGGATTACCTTCAAAATAACTAAACTAGATAATAATAAGAATTAGAAGAAAAAAATGTATGCCTGCATAGTTTGATTGTAGTTCTTATTAAATTTGCTATAAACTATATACAGTATTTTATTACATACGTATGGTATTTTCTTTTATCCTAAAGTGTAAAAATAATTAAAAACATTAAAATTCACTATATAAATTTAGATTTATGATGTCACCTCCACTGGCCGGAAACGTCCACATTCAGCTAACTCGAAGTGGYCCACAGACCACCAGTTTATAATCCTTTTGCAGCTCCAGGCACGTTTTATTAGTGAACCAAGGAGCAGAAATGGCTCTTTTGATTGTAAAGGTAGCAGACCCCTGGCTTAAACAAACCTTGAACAAAGACTCATAGGTCTAACGAAGATGACTTGTCAGAGCTGCTCACATAAATTTATTGGAAGATCATGTCAGTTCTCACTTTGAAACAAGTCTTTTAGCAGCATAGTTTGACCAATGACAGCTAATAGAAGGGATTACRTAGCAAGCAACAGACCATGTGAGTGCGACATGGGCTTTTTTGGCTCAGATGCTGCATGCATTGTCTGTTGTGGGCAATTCAAACCCCTGACACAGTTGGCCACGCAAGTGCCTGGCAGACCTTTGCGGACTGATACAGATGACACATTTCACATCACACAAGAGCAAATGGTAGACCTTAAATTGCACTTAAGCATTGTTCTTAAGGTCTATAATTTTTCAGATTCAGAAAAGAGAAACAACTACTAAATAAATGAGCCCCTCTTCCTACACTGAAAGTGGCAATCAGTTCCTGGATGGCTCATTTGACCTAGTCCTTCAAAAGGAGCACGCAAGACCCATTTTGCATCCACAGTAAAACAGTAGAGAATACTTTATTTGTTTGCGTGAGGAGCATCCTGTYCTGTGTGTTCTCTGGGTCACACTCGGTTGACACGGTGATTGGAAGTCATTAGTCTTATGTGGATATAATCTTTCAGGTCAAATTATCCTTCAGTTTGAACTGAAATTGGTGAATGTCAGAGGGCAAGGATCAACTCGGGCCTAGGCTTTCTCGTCTGCATTAAGCCATCACAGCGTTGTAAGGTGAGCTCTTGCAATGAACCCTGTCACTGCCACCACTGCACCAATATCCCCACAACACAGCATGCATATTGATTGCAAATTGTGAGTGAGAGAACATGTGTGCATGTAATGCATTTGTGCACGCTCATGCCAGCTCGCCTTTTTTCTAGCAAGGAGCAAGGGAATCGTCTTACTCTCTTGCTGATTAGAAAGCTCATGCATAGGAAATCACGACAGAGACACTGCTCCCCATCTGCCCGCGGTGCAGGTGAAAACAATTTACACATCACCAGGCTAATGGATACATTCATAGGGAGAGGGAAAAAGGGATTGAGCCGGAGAGGGAGAGAATAACAGAGAGCAAAGAAGAGTCGGGTTATAATGGGCCCGGGCCAAGGCAGGCCAGTGGCCCTGCTCATTCGGCCAAGCCGGATAGCAGCCTATCATATAACACATAATCACCAAGGTCAGGGACTAATGAATCCGGTCGTGGCCCGCCAGAACGGGCTTTTGCCCGCACTAAAGACACTTGTAAACAATTCGACTGGGTGAAACATGGCAATAATATGTTGATTCAGCAGGTAATGAGGTTCTCCCTGAATCAATACCCCCGGCTAACCTCTCTCCCTCGTGGGCCAGTAAAGAGCAGCCATCTAGGTTGGTTAGCGCGCACCTATGCCGATGACCTTTCCGTGGCAGTAAGGACACGAGGCAGTCTGAAGAGGACTATTCTCGTATTGCACAAGGCGCTGAGTGTCAGAACTTTCATTCGCAGCAAGCAAATGAACAGGCAGGCGCTGCATGCTAATGAGTGGCAAGCTATTTTCCACCTTTTTTATCTGCACATTATGCTCTTGACTTTGGAGAAGGTGGGAATTAGGTTGGACCTCAGTGTCAGGCTGCCTGATGGCTCCGCTCAGGAAAAACTGGTAATTGAAGCCGATGGCTGCCGCGGAGGAGGTCTGAATTTGGAAATAAACAGTTTCAAGCACTGCACGTCATTTCTAGAGAGATGACAGGGGGAATGGAAATGAGCTGTCTGGATCTAATATGCTTTCACAGCGGGGAGAAAAAAAAAGGGAGCTATCTTTTCAGATAACAATTCCACTCATTAGAGCTTCAGTGCCACRGTAATGACAAGCGACCAAGTTGCTAAATTCAGAAAGGACAATTAGAAGATGCTGGCACAGAGACAAACTGAGTCAACAAGGACACATGGCTCTGAATCCTGCAYGTTCTGTGACTTGGCATTGTGAAAWATGCCTAATCGCT